CACCACAACCACCAAGCGACAGGACCTCAAGCGCTCACCATGCAACATACAGCTTAGCACAAAGCCTGGGTTTCTGCACCGTTACATATGGCAAGCCGCATCACCCAAGATCTTTGCTTTAGCAGCACAAAAAAAAAAAAATCAGTCCTCAATTGGTAAGCTAAATAAACAGTGCTCTAGCACTATTTTCCCAATCACACTAGTTTCCTTAAGCTTAGCAACTGATCTGTTCTCCTTCCAATTCACTAGGTTTCATTCAGCTTTACCCTCCTGCCACCCAGATCATCGATGTCTGGTGCTTATGCTGTGCTGAAGTTTTGCCCCACCAGCCATAGCGCTCCACATAGCCACGTCCTTCAGGAGAGTATGACGACAGCCCCAAAACACCTGCAGCATCTACCTTGAAAACAAGGCAAAAAAAGACTCAGCCCTCAAATAGGGCCAATAAAAGGCTGCCAAATGCTGGCATCAGGCTCTGTTACAAGCAGGCATTGCTCTACAGCAATTGTCTGTGCAAAAAAAAAAAAAAAAAACCCAGCCACCCGTAATTTAATTACAAAGAAGAGCAACCAGCCACCTGACACCAGCCTTTCTTCGAAAGGCAGCTCAAATTTTTGGAGCCAACTTCAATTTTTGAGCCCTTCTGTCCAAACTGGTCCTACCTGCTCCCTCCTCACCTGTTGTGGGGCTTGCTGGCATGACACAGCATGGGATCTTCTACCTCCCCACCTAGTGACTCCATCCCACCTGTGAGGGAGGTCGTGCTCATTTCTGACTCTGATGTGGGGAAGGTGAGCGTGGTTCACCTTGAGTCACATGCCTAACAAGGTGACCTAGGATTAGCCCTGCTCTGGCCACGGCAGAGAGTTTCACAGGAGAACTACGCTAGGATAGAGAGCAAATACCTTCTGCACTGTGAAGGTGATCAACATATACTCCTGCCTTCTGCTTGTCTTTGACATAGGAGATGGGCAGAGTGGAGGCTTGTGATCTCCCCTCCGCTTTGATACCTTAGGAAGGGGGTAGCAAGGAGCGAGTAAGGCAGATGGAAGAACTGTGCTTTCTCTCTGCAGGAGGCCTATCCAGCTCTCAGCAATCCTGTGGCCTCTCTCCACACTCCCCATAGCTTTGCAGCTTCCTTTTGGAGAGGGGTTGCTAGGTTTGCAATGCAGCATCTCGGCCTGTGGCTATGGGTGTGTTGGCACATTTGTAATCCATTAACAATTCAGATCATCTCGTCCTGCTTCTGACAGCGTTTGGTCAGTTCTCTGCAGCTGGCGCAGCCCTTGGCATTCTCAGGCCTGCGTCCACACAGCCAACTTCACAAGCAGGAAAAAGAAAACCACCGGCCAAAAACAAAACCCCCCCAACATCAAAAGGATAACATCAGGATACCTTGTGCAGGACACAGCTCAGATGAGCCCGAGCTGGCCACGACCCAGCCTGGCTCGGAGCAAGGTTTGACTGTTTCTGTGTACCCTCTTACGTTTCATCCGATGTTGTTCCACACGTTCCTGAGGGACCTCTCCAAGAAACAGACGGGCTTTTGCAATCCTGACGTCTGGCAAAGGTTAGCAGAACTCCCCCCCGCCCCGTCACCCCTCCCCACTGCCAGGGACAAACTAGCTCCCAAACAGCCAGGCTTAACATTGTTCTCCAGGCTCTTTCCACCCTGCAATAAGAAAAGAGTATGTGCACACATGTATTTTATCTAACTTGACTGACAGGCTAGAAATGCACAACTTTGCAGCCCCTTTAAAAATCCCTGCATTTTTCCAGGAGAGGAGACAGCAGCAGAGCAGTTAGCAGGTGCAAATAAGGAGAGCTTGGAAAATCCGGTCACACTACTTTGTCCGTTCAAACAAAGCACACGTGTCTACCAGACAGGCGGTGGCGGCAGGCCTTTTTCCTCCCCCCTCCCCCGCCCCTCTAGCCACTTTACGAGACGGGAACAACCTAAAAGCCCTTCAACTCAGGAACCAAAAAAACATCACATACAAAAATTACAGCATTTCACAATGCCTGTGACAATCTGACTGAGATCTCACCAGCTTGCTGTGGAAACCGATTCGTGTCGGTCAGTCCGAGCATGGATATGCCCTTCTTAGCCTGGAAAGGATCATTAAGATATAAACCACAAAATAAAAAATGGAAAAACAACAAATTCAGCACATCACTTATCAGCCGAGCTGACGACTGCAGCGTCAAAGCGCACTGAGATTCCAGCTCAGATTCCAGTTCAGTTACTATTTCACCCAGCTACAAAACTATGTTTCAGACATAGAAACTTCCTTAAAAGGCCCCTGCCAAGGCATTTTTTTCTTTGTTGTTTGCAATAAACCCTCAAAAGAATGAATCCAGAATCCCAATTCTTATTAACCGTTTCTGCGCATACTGGCTTGTTCTGAGAAAATTTCTGCATGCATTAAACAACTGAGGTTTTAGAGCCTGTGCGTGCAGGGCCACGGGGGAAGGAAGGGGGTTTGAAAGCTAGGATTGAATATTTGTGGCCAAATCCTCAGCTCGTGAACATCCAAGGCCCCTCTTTGAGGGGGATGCCAATGAAAACGTTGGATGACCAAAGAATGCACCATCGGTTTCAATAACTACAACACAGATTGCACAATCGGACGCACAGCCAAGCTCCACTTCCATTTTTGAGCAGAAATTTGGCAGTGTCTCCACAGAAATAGTTCCCTTATTAAGGTCAACAGGCTGCAGAGCAGTTCTTCAACATAGTCCTATGAAGACCACAGCCCTATTTACGAATTAGCCGCACTGTAATCGCCTGGGATTTCCATCAAAAGAGCTTCGAAAGAAACAGACATTTCCCTCACTGTGTATTTTCATAACGAGACCCGCTCTTGCCCTACGCTCTGTCCCAAACGACTCTGACCACGTTTCCCTCGCACAAGGGCAAGCTTGCAGCATGACTTGAACGTGCAGACCTCCTGATCAACAAAACCGAGAGGAAAAAAAAAGTCCTCAGCTTCACGATTCCCATTTAGAGCTCCTAAACAGACTTTTATTCACAGAGCAGATACATGGGAAAGTATTTTAGATGAAGCACATAGGTTGCACCCTCCCTAAGCCAAATGCTTGTCCACATTTCTCATACAATCCATGGAGCTTACAGGTGAGCTAGATTTAAATAAACTCTTTGGGCACTCAGGCCAAATGATGTGCTGCCTACCAGCACTCCAACTTCCCGCTATACCAGCTTTGGCTCCGTGGTGGAAGTAGTCACTTCCCATCTCTCAAGAGACATATATGATCCGGCCAAATCCAAAGGGAAAGGCTATCTGGCTTCAACTCTCTCCGTATTCTTCTGGGCCTGCTCAGATTTTCACTGGTTAGCAACGATGCCAACCATCTTTGCAAATGCCGTTCGGGTCCCCTTCGCATTTCACCTTTAAAACATCATCTATTCACTAGGGACAAAAAGGATCAGCCACAAAAAGACACATGCGGCTGCAGGTCCTGTCTAATCACAAGCTGAACCTTCAGTACTTGTCTCTAACACCTGCACATACACATTGCTCTCTTGGGTCATTTTTTTTTTTAGGGTTTTTTTTAAATCATTATTATTTTTGGAAAGCATTGCTCAGAGCACCTTGTCAGCAGCAAAAGAAATGGATCATGCTGCTGCTACTTTGCAATTTGCACAGCACGGGTTCACATGCCTGTCGTCCCCTCCCTTCCCCCCCACAGCCACATACAACCGTCCTTACGTAAGCTAATACATTTAGAGGAAGATGCAATCAACGGAGCGAGAACATAGGCCGAGGAGCAAAAAGCATCTCCTTATTTTCAGGCCCAGGAAAAGAAAACAAAAAAAAAAAACCAACCAAACAAATACACCCTATTATTCACATTCTCCTAGGAACCAGTTTGGCACGGTGGCTTGCTTCAGCTCAAGTCACGCTCCCGCTCCCTCACTTATTTCAGATTACCTATACAAGAAGAATGTTTAAAAATACTTCCGACACGGTTGGGGAGGAAACGTGCATTTCTAGAGCGCTGCTTACGGTTCAGAGGGGATTTTGATTTCTTACAGATACGCACGCCAAAGCACCTTTCCCGCAGCCCCAGCAAACCCCAGAGCGATACAGCTGGGTAGGGAGGAGATGGGTCCGAAGGCAGCACCTGCATCCATACAAAGTAAAAGAGACGCCGCTGGAAAACACCAACACGACCGTGACTTTTTGTGACTGCTTTAAAAAGCGCCACAAGTAGTTACATTCCAGCGGAGAGAGATGATGCTTTTTTCTTTTTTAAAAAAAAAAAAAAAGCGGGACAGCGGGGGATGGAAGGAAAAGATTTGTTGGTTTTTTTCCTAAGAACAATAGCTCCCAAACCTGCAGGCAGGGAATTGCTTCTAGGTGAGCCACTTAAACAAAGAAGATGGAGCATCTCTCTCTCTTCAGGGAGGAACGCTTCCTGGTAGAGACAGGGCCTCGTAGACAAGAGAGAGCTTTTTATATAGGGCTATGAAGGCCAAAACACCCGGCGTCCGCTACCAGGAGTGTTTCTGCGTGGCTACATCACAGGTCAGGTTTGGGGGGCGGCAGGGGGTCTTTCAGCAGTCTCCATCTGTGATTACACACGGCCTCGAGAGAGGAGGAGGCTGCAAGCTAAAGGGAATAAGGAAAAAACGCAGAACTATTCAAAGGAGTCAAAACAAGGAGGACAGGACTGAGCCTTTGCAACAGCAGCATGACCTGGCCTGGGGGGCCAAAACCCAGAAAGCAGAGGGGAAAAAAAGGCACCCGCGAAGTTGGACATCACTCTCCCCACCTCCTGCTCCATCTCAAAACAGGGTTATTTTCAGGCTGTCTCCTTGGAGCTATCCTAATATTTTCTCTCATGACCCAAGTCATCTGGGAAGAGAGTTACAGTCAAGGAAAAACAAGACAGAGCCGAGGTTAGCACCGCAAACCTCCCTCCCAGAAGGGGAGAAGCCCCGGTAGGGATGAAAGGCCAGCAGGGTCGTGCCTTACCTGGAAAAGTGTGTGGGTTGGGTGACCCTCTTTTAAGGCACTTAGAACAGAGGACGTGCACAGTGTAGTACAGGCCCGGCCATTCTTGAAGCAGGACATTCAGTTCTTCCACTAACGGGGTTATGGCTTGCCAGGCTGTCCAGATATTTGGTAAAGATGCGTGACTAGCAATAGACAGAGTATCCGGCTGCAGAGCTCCCCTGGCAGGCCGGTAACTCACCACCACCGGCACCTTTCCTCGGTAGGCGTAGATCTGGTATCTGCCATCCGACCGCTGAACCACGTGGCTGTTGATCTGGACGCTGTAGCGCGCGAACAAGCCAGGGGGGAAAATGAATGGAAAGCTATATTCAATCTGCAGTTGCTCAACCACAAAGGACTGTCCGCTCAGATTGGCGCCGTTAATCCACGCCTCTGCATGGGGCACCTCGTTCTTCACGTAGCAAGGGAACTTGTACCAGGCAGCCGCCCCGTTCAGGGGTTTGCATTTGGGCTTGTTGACACAGTAGCAGAGGCCCATCTTCTCCAGCAGCTCCAGAATGAGCTGCAGGTCTTCCCGGCTCTGGATGTGGGGCTTGAGAAGCAGGCGGATAATGTGGGCAGGGAGGAGGCCATGCAACAAGAAGCCCTCCACATAGTGATGGAGCTGGGTGGCCCTCAGCTCATCGATGTGGGTGTCGCTGAGCAACTTCTGGAGCAGCACAGTGGCATCCCGCTGGCAGAAGACGTTGAGGATATCGATGAGCCGCGGCAGGTTGTGGAACACGTACTCCCGCAGTGTGAGGTGCTCCTCAAAGTAGAGCAGCTTCCCACTCTCGTGGAGGTAGGACAGGGCACTCTGGAGCCGATCCTCCGTCAGGCCCGCCTGCAAGCCCAGCCGGGCAGAGTCCCACCAGCTGAGCCACAGCTGCTGAGCCTGCGGCTGGAAATGCAGCTCCTCCAGCACTTGCCAGGATTTGGGCAACACTCGGTGCAGGTTTGGGAAGATGTCCCGGTGCTCGGCCACCGAGAGGAGTTTGTCCCGCAAGCGACGCACCTGGCAACGGTCCCGGCAGCTGAAGGGCAGCACCGGGGAGAGAATCTGTGGGCGGTGGTTCAGAAGATACTGAAACTGGGCTTTCTTCCGCCGCAAGTTCTTGTCCGAGACCCCGTAGAAGGTGGCGTGCGGGCTGGAGCAGCGCAGGTCAAAGTCCTGTCCCAGAGCCTCATCCACCTGCTGGACCAAGCTCTGGAGTCCCTCAGCATCCCGTTTCTCCTGCAGAGCAATCTGGTGATGGATGTCCAGGCACTTCTCCTCCAGCTCCCGCTCGGCGCAGAGGTCGGCATGGGTTCCCACCATGCACACCACAGCATGGGGCACCTTAGAACCAAGCCAGTGCAAGAAGTAGCCCACAGAGCGGTAGAAGTGCTGAGGGACGTAGGCACTCAAATTCACTACCAGCACATACAAGGCCCCGGGGGAGAGGAAGAAAGATTGGATCACATCGTAGCTCGGGTCCCCCGCTAGCTCATACACAATGAATGTCAGACCCCTCTCAGCATCCGCTGTCCAGTCCATCACCTCAATGCCCTTGCTGCCTCCTGGCAGTCCCGCTCCTGATGGCGCTTGGAAGGCGTCCGGTGGCAGTGATGGCGCCGGGCACAGTGTTTCCCCCTGCACTCTGCGAGAAGGCGCATGGGGGACATCCCGCCGCTCAACAGGGAGCTGCTCCAGCTGCTGCGTGGCAGGTACCCGCGTTGAGGAGGTGTCCGGAGGCTGCGGGAAGGGGCAGCACCCAACCGGCACTCTACCAGCATCTCGCTGCTGACCAGGGTAGCCTCTGGGCTGGGCACTCCCTGACTCCGGACCTCCCGCGTCCTCCCTCTGCCTGTCCTCCTCCATGAGGCACCGTCTCAGCAAGGTCTTGCCCGCATCCTTCAGGCCCATGAGGACCAGCTTGAGGCGGGGCTTGAGGGCAGGCTGGGAGTTGGCCAGCTCCTGCTGGTAGGCCGCGATGTAGGGGATGCCCTTCATGCACACCTCATACGGGGGCTGGATGAGGGGGTTGTCCTTGATCTTCCACAGGGTGACGCGGGACAGTTGCCCAAAGCCCTCGGGCAGGATGGCGATCTGGTTGCCTTGCAGCACCAGCTCCTCCAGGCTGTGGAGGAGCACGATGGAGTCAGGCAGGTAGCGGATGCGGTTGTTGTCCAGCCAGAGGGTGCGGAGCTGGCGGAGCTGACAAAGGCCAGGGGGCAGCAGGGTGAGCTGGTTGCGGCTCAGGTAGAGCTCCTCCAGGCCGGGCAGGGCCAGCACGGCGGCAGGGAACTCCCCCAAAAGGTTGGAGGAGAGGTTCAGCATCTTGAGGCGCTGCAGGCTGCCAAAGCCGGCAGGCAGAG